ATAAGCCTGATACGTTCTTGTAACAATCCAGTTCGTTACGCCCTACATCATGCCGATTTAAATATTTACTAATATAATCCTTCAAGCGGGAAATGACTACACTAGAATGTGATACTTAAAGCCCGCACAAATTGTGAATCATGACATATATGAAGGGACAGGTAAAAAGCATCTAACTCCGCTATGGGCGAATCCTTTACCTTCGCTATCTTAGCCTCACTGACCACGTGACTAGCGAGACAGATTCCATTCTCCTTTTGAAGCAAACGCTCTTGACGGTTACAGAACATAAACAAGTCTATCTAATATCTGGTCGTGTGTTCCTGTTTGCTGTCAGCGTACACGGCTCAATCTTGTAAGCATCTGTCCTCTGCTTAATGAAATGTCGGCAATTTACCTGAAAAATCTGTACAAACCACAACCGTGACCTGTCGTATGAAGCTCAGCAACTGCTGCACGTAACACACCAGTAAGACACGGAGTCAAAGCATCTGAACGATCGAAGACTCATTACGTGTCAATCTTCCGGTCTCCACATCATGCGTCGTGCGTTGCCGCAGTATCGCTCAAGGCCATATTCCAGCTCGCTATGAAAAGTGAAGGTTTCCTAAACATCCCGTGACACAGTTACTGTGCTCCAGGAACGCTTCCGTTGGGCTCCGTCGGGATCAATTTCGATGCTGCAAGCGTGACTCGTCTCACTTCCGTTTGATGGTCTGATTCAGGTGGCACCTGGCTGCGCTGCTCTGGGGCTGCGCCTCCTTACGGGCCGGCGTCGCGCTCACTTGTCTGTCAACAACAGTACGCGCGTGCAAGTCGTATGCCACGCCCCCCGATATCGCGAGCGAGGCGGCTCACGATCACAGCCAGGACGTGATGAAAAAGTATTCCACCCGGCGGCGAGAAGGAAAAAGCGGCAGAGTTTCGAGCGCACGGTCTTCCGGCAAGGTTCTTGCTCCTACGATACGTATTTATTCAGCGAGAAACGCAGGCCTCTGTCATCCTCACTGACACGTCGCTGACGCTCGTCCTTACAACAAGAGCTTGCCGCTGTGTATCAGATAGTGGTAGGCACTGAGACTTTTGTTTCACGGTCAGGCTCGGCAATCAACATGATCCCTGCAAGCCGTTAAACGAGATTCCGTAGACGGGACAGCCATGTTGTACATTAAAAAGCAGAAAATTCGTAAAAAGCGTGCTCCTTCAAAGTCAACTTTCCTAAAATAAAGGCAATGATTGGATCTGTTTCATATACACATAAACTTGCCGCAAGACAGGCATGACCTGGTGTTTTTATATAAGAGTGTGACACTCAGCCACCGTGTCCTACCGCGCCGTTGACGGCACCTCGGAGACTTTCGCTCTCCCACAGTGACCTTCGCTTTGTTTACTACCGTTATCGCTGTCGTCCGTGCTACCTTCACGGCAGCCTCGTTACCACAGCGACGGTGTTAAACACCCGATCACCGGCCTCCAAGGTGTGATGCTTCTCTGAATGTCGCAACCACATGGCGTGATGAAGTGGTGCTTAAATGGCCGTAATTTTACAGAACACATGCTTAAGGCATCGTGAAAGATAGTAGTAAATTACTGGGGGCTTTAGGCGCGATCCGAATGGTGAATGATAGCCTCCAACACATGCTCTGGTTGCATTAACCGTGCGTGAAAAGCCCGAGTTCTCCAGTCTGGCTGTCGCTTCTACGCCGCCATCTCCCGCACGTAATAACGTTTTGATTATTTTACGGCATATTTAACTGCCGAGGCAATCAGCGTCGCAGCGTCTCACAGCGATCGCAGGGGAAGCGACAAAACAAAGCTGGCGATGACCCTCAGCTCCACACATTCGCAGTCGTGAGCTGAGAGTCCTAGCGCTCAGATGCGACGCGTCTGGGGGTATTATCCTCTATAGGCAGCCGCCTACACTTTTGGCAAAAAGGATTAGTCGCCTTGATTTCTAATTTATGCCAGCGAATATGTTGTGCTCCCGATGACACTGACGATACGCGATATTTGGTGCTCATAACGCATTGACAATGTTATGGAACGATGCTCGTGTATAAGGAATAGTCAAAATGTAAAACGCGTGATGTTGAAGGTATCGCGCCGCTGCGCGCGTGTAAATTTTTGAGCAGACGATGTGTAGAAGCCGATGTCCATATACATCTGACGCTCTTGGACGTTTAGGCTCTATGTTATTCATGAATAATTATCGAATATGCTGCTAATAGCATCACTGCGTCTCCTTATCGTTTATCGTCTCCTTATCACAGTCGGAATGCACCTTCACAATGTGTCCTCCTGTAATCATTTTGATGTGCGGGTCTTCTTAAATGCTTGAATGATTCACTCTCTCGACCACAAATTTTGGTGCAGCGTTTCTAAGGATACCGCATTCCGGTCCGCGAGCATGTCATGCATTCTTGCAGCTTGTTGGCTTGGCGGTGATGGTGTTATCAGGCGTTCTAATGACCACCCTTCGAGCCCGAAGCTTCACCGCTATCACGATGTGCCCAGTTCACGCGCTCCCCTTCGGTCATGCCAACGCTGTTTGAAATCATGAGTCACGATGTTTAGACGTTGTGATTCATCTCCGAACAATGCCATGCAAGTCAGCATGCCAATTTTAATCTGCTCTCACCGATTTCCGATGTTCTACGGCGTGGGCACGATGGAAGCTTCCGATTCAGTCGTTCTAACTAGCATAACCAAAAGAAGCCTTTACAACAGTTTACTCTTATCGCCAGTTCGCTTATGTAGGTCTCGTCTGGTCATAGTAAGTTTGGAATGAGAAGGTGACAATCATTTAAAGTTCATGGACTGGAAACGACCTTAAGACCATCGCGGTTTATCTCAATCATGGCGGAAACTAGTTTTTCAATTTAAGGAGAGTACTATTGTGGCAGTGAACGCACTAATTGCCTTGGATGTGTTGTCATTCCACTGCTTAACCGGCCTAGACCATGCAGCTTGCAGGGAGGGCAGGCAGGAGCAGGGGGGACGGGGAGGGAGAGCGGCCACGTCAGCGGCCAGGGGACCCGCCACCAGGCCCGCCCCGACCGCGCCGTGTCGGTTTTCCCGCGCGGTGGCCGGAGCAGGCGGCAAGCGCGGGCGGACGGCTGAATTGTCGACGGCGGGCGGAACGCTGTCAGAACCAACTGCGTGAGAGAAACGACTGGCTTTGTGTGCCCAGGAGCTTTGCTTGCGGTCAGGAGAGTCACGAGGTCACGAGAAGGCGTTACAAATCGTGCAGGCCAGTCACTTTGATCGTTAACAGACAATAATCGTCAGCCAGATCGGCACAGACACGGCGTGTCTCAAGACACGTGATGACGCAACAACAAAAATGGCCGGCGGAAGCGAGCGCACAGCCGCACAGCAGGCCGTCGGATCATGATGCTGAGCTTCCCGCTCGTACTTGAGAGCATTTTGGCAGACATTATCTTCACCATGCCGCAGGGGAACGTGATCTGTTTTCCCGGAGGATTTTTCATAACCGGCGAGCTGAACGGAGGCTGCGATGAGCTTTCTGAGAATTGATAACTTGGCAAACGTCCGATGGTAGCTCACAGAGCACGTGCCACTTGAGCGCCATCGCTGGGTCGGCTCCCTTCTCTTCCTTGGAATGAGAAGCGCCGGCCGCAGATCAGCAGGTCACCGCCCTGACCTCTGCGCGGCGTCACCTGGCCACAGGTCACGGCCCCGCCCAGGCCGAACTGTCGCGGTGAAGCTCAGTTCGATAGGCGGATTCTGGCACCGCCGTAATTCCCGAGCTCTGGTCACGGCCAGTACATCTCCACCGCGGCCTTTTAGCCGCTCTATTAGCCCTTGGTTAGACGAATCGACCCAGGCCATTGTAAAACGATCTCGTCTCACTTTAGTTCGTGTAGTGGGAATCAAATGGACGGGTAATGGTCCTTCGATGCTCCCAGGCGCGGCATCCCAATTTGCCGGGCACTTCAGAAAAAGTCCCGTGAGACATTTGGAGATAAGGAAACTTTTGGCTGCCCATTCAACTTGCGGTGAAGCAAGCTGAATGGGCGTGGACAATGAATGTCTAGATGTATATGCCTGGTAGTTGGGTAAAAACACACCGCACGTTTGTAAAAATGCCACCTGAAAGCTTAGAACCTGTTATGTATTCCAAGTCAAGCTCAGCGAGCCGTTTAATCCACTCTGGACGGTGCTACATGGCGCGCCCCAGTCCGAAATGGCCGCCGCCCTGCCGATCCAATCAAAATGGGGCTGACTAGCACCGACGTGCTCCCCCAACGTCATCACGGCGCCGGCGGTAACCGTCAAATCGGGGCGGCGGGGCCTCGCAGGACGGGGGCGGGACAAGGCCGCACTGGACACCAGAGGCTGCCACAGGGCTATGCGGGGAGGGTACTCAAGGATTCCGAATGCAAGTAAGTAATCCAGAGTTTAGTGGTTCTTTTTTTACTTACTTGTGCTACTCCCGTTCATCGCCACGGGTATCCTAGCACCATCATCACCCGCGACACCTTGAGATGGATGACTGGGAGGACCACCCAGATTGGAAAGTTCGACGCATCTTCGCCTTACACGCGTGTGCGCTGCAGCGTGCTGCCGCTGGTGGTAGCACGCGCTATAAAGAACCATGAAAGCGGTCACTGAGTCAGAAAAACGGAATCCAGTACTGCAGTCATCGGTCATTCAAAAGGCAGCACTGAACTCGTCATCTCCGGTCGCCCACGTCCGAGGTACCTCACGAATACCAGCGGACGAAGCACCGCATCAGGTTCCGTGCAGCTCACAGTGCTTATTCATCTTGGCGACCTACACTCCCTGTCGCTGCCGGCCGCCGGCTGGACCAGCTCGGGGGCAGCTGACACGTAGCGGCATCTGTCGTCAGCCGGCGCAGCTCGGCGCCGCGGCTCGGTCTGCGGTGAAGCTGGGCGGTCGGCTCAGGTGGCGCCACCGGCGCGGTCTGTCTGCGCCGTCGGGCGGCGGGACGCTCAGTCATCCGGGACCGTCGACGGGCGGCGGAGCCGGCACCGCCGGCGCCGGGATGACGCCGCGTCGGTGACGCCAGTGCAAGATGCGAGCGGTGGCTGTGATGACGGCGCTGCTGGCGTGCGGGTGCCGGGCGGCCGACGTTTGCGAGGAGGTCGGCGCCGACGCGCTGCGGTGCTCCCTCGCCACCCTGGACTCGGCACGTGTTAACTCGACGCGTCCGCACGACGTGAAGCACATAGAGATCGCGTGCGGTGAGCGATCACACATACACGAAGAATGGGAGATGTCGGCCTTCAAGCGATTTCCCGGCCTCGAGACGCTCTCAATAAGTCACTGTAAGTTTGGAAAGATCAACAGAGGAGCTTTGCAGCATCTGACGAGTTTGAAATCCTTCAGCTTCAGATCATTTCAGTCACAGTGGCTATCGGCAGAGTTGAAATTAGAGCAAGGTAGCTTCGAAGGATTGGAACGTCTAGAAAAACTTGACATCAGTCAAAACAATATTTGGGCCTTAGGGTCCAATATTTTGAAGGAGCTGATATTCCTAAAAGTCTTAAACGTTTCTGGAAACAATCTTCAGCAGCTTACTGAACTACAAAACGCTGGAGTTAACTCCAATCTGCAGGTGCTGGACGTGTCCAACAACGGTATCACCGTGCTACATGCACCTGACGTCAGCTTCTTGCACAGGATGCGTGAGTTGAATCTTAAGTCTAACAAGATATCAGTCATTCACGATGGATCTCTGGCAGGTCTAGACAAGCTCGGGGTGCTGGATATTTCCAGAAACAAGCTAGTGGCACTACCGGCAATGATGCTGAACGAGACTCGATCTCTAAAGGATCTGCGACTGGACAACAACGGCATTCAGGTGCTGCCGCCCGGCTTGCTGTCAGACCTGCCACAGCTGCTAATCGTCAACATGTCCAGCAATAGGCTGAGCTCCCAGTGGATCAGAAAGGACACATTCGCCAACCTGTTCAGACTGATCGTGTTGGACCTCTCCGGAAATATGTTGGACACCCTCAGTCAAGATGCTTTCGACGACTTGTCCAGTCTCCAGGTTCTGGACCTCGGTTACAACCAGCTACAGACTCTGCCCGTTGGAGTGTTCACGTCTTTGAGCAACCTGCATACGCTGACCCTGTCTGGAAACACCTTAAGTCGGTTGGAGCGGCGTGCTCTAGAGGGCCTGCACGTGCTCAGCAGACTCAGCCTCGACTACAACCGGCTGGCGACGATAGACGAGGACGCGTTCGCCAACGCATCAAGCATACAGTACCTACATTTTCAAAGGAATGGACTGACCAGCATCCCAGACGCTCTGCGTGTTCTCACATCGCTGGAGCAGCTGGACCTAGCTGAAAATTATATATCGGACGATGATGGTGGTGTGCTTAAAACGCTGTTGCAGCTGCGCTTTCTGAGCTTGGCTGGAAACAAGCTCAGCAATGTGTCAGCCGGGTTCTTGTCGGGTCAAAATGCTCTCACCATGCTCGACATGTCTCGGAACGAAATTGAAAGCCTCAAAAGTGCCACCTTTGACACAGCTTTGAGTCTAAGGGCTATACGACTGGATGCGAATCATCTGAGAAACATCAACGGCCTGTTCGCTAAGCTGCCGGCTCTCCGGTGGCTGAATGTCTCCGACAACCAGATCGAGTTCTTCGACTACGCCCTGATTCCGGCTGAGCTTCGCTGGCTCGACATGCACAAGAACCGGCTGCGCGAAATTGGCAACTTTTACAACGTCGAGTCGGTGATTAAACTGAATACGTTGGACCTCAGCCACAATCATGTGTCCCTCATTAGCAGGTCCTCCGTGCCTGACGGTATCAAGTATCTCATCCTGGCCAACAATCAGCTGACAACAGTTGAGCCGGGGACTTTCGAGGCGAAGTCTCAGCTGATTCGAGCCGACTTCTCCGCCAATCAGCTGACGGAGCTGAGTCTGGAGGCCGTCGCCTTGCCGAAGGACGGTGGCCGGCAACCGCCGGCCGCCATTCTGCTGGGAGGCAACCCGCTCCTGTGCAGCTGCGCTACGGACTGGATCCTGAGCACCGACCACCTCACGGCCGGCAACAACGTCCCAGAGGTGAGCCCCTGAGCACCGACCACCTCACGGCCAACAACAACGTCCCAGAGGTGAGCCCCTGAGCGGTGATTACCTCACGGCCGGCAACAACGTCCCAAAGGTGAGCCCCTGAGCACCGACCACCTCACGGCCGGCAACAACGTCCCAAAGGTGAGTCCCTGAGCACCGACCACCCACGGCCGGCAACAACGTCCCGAAGATGAGCCTCTGAGAGGCAACCACCCCACGGCCGGCAACAACGTCCCAAAGGTGAGCCTCTGAGCGGCGACTACCCCACGGCCGGCAGGAACGTCGCAAAGGTGAGCCTCTGAGAGGCAACCACCCCACGGCCGGCAACAACGTCCCAAAGGTGAGCCTCTGAGCGGTGACCACCTCACGGCCGGCAACAGCGTCCCAAAGGTGAGCCTCTGAGCGGTGATTACCTCACGGCCGGCAACAACGTCCCAAAGGTGAGCCTCTGAGCGGTGATTACCTCACGGCCGGCAACAACGTCCCAAAGGTGAGCCTCTGAGCGGCGACCACCTCACGGCCGGCAACAACGTCCCAAAGGTGAGCCTCTGAGCGGCGACCACCTCACGGCCGGCAACAGCGTCCCAAAGGTGAGCCCCTGAGCGGTGATTACCTCACGGCCGGCAACAACGTCCCGAAGATGAGCCTCTGAGCGGCGACCACATCACGGCAGTCAACAACGTCCCAAAGGTGAGCCTCTGAGCGGCGACTACCCCATGGCCGGCAACAACGTCCCAAAGGTGAGCCTCTGAGCGGTGATTACCTCACGGCCGGCAACAACGTCCCGAAGATGAGCCTCTGAGCGACGACCACCTCACGGCAGGCAACAACGTCCCAAAGGTGAGCCTCTGAGCGGCGACCACCTCACGGCAGGCAACAACGTCCCAAAGGTGAGCCTCTGAGCGGCGACCACCTCACGGCCGGCAACAGCGTCCCAAAGGTGGGCCTCTGAGCACCGACCACCCCACGGCCGGCAACAGCGTCCCAAAGGTGAGCCGAGTGACGCAACTCAGTCATTGGGGACCAATGAAATAGTTCTTGGCTTTAATACATGTTGCAGATGAAGGTTGCCATCGTATGTGTGCCTTATTAAACCTCATTCTTTAACTACCATATTATATCCAAAGGATTCGGAAACACTAATCGTTGATGTTTTCCTTTTATCATCAAATGTATCATTGTCTATGTTGCTATGGCATGCAGATGGCACCTTGCCCGCCTTTTACCCGTCCGGTGTGCCATACACACACGTGACCTCTGAAGAGTAAAACACTATGAGAACTTATCCCGCTATAGCTGAGAAGATTGAGCGTGGGCCTTATTTCGCTGGATCAAAACAACCTAGCTGGAATTTGCTTGATATTGACGAGAAGGTCAAGGGGCTTCTAGTTTTTCTTATGCTGAAAATACTTGATCTATGTAATTTATGTCAAGAATCTCGCATTCCTACACATATCAGCGCCCACAAATTAGTTCGGGTCAGGTGGCACTGTAGATTTCATATTTATTACAGGCCAATCTTGTGAGGACTTCTGCATCAAGCAAGACTGTACTGATATCAATGTGAGATGAATGACAGATAATAATAATTAAAGATAATGAGATAACCTGATAACATGTGAGATAATAGCGGAAATTTCGTCCATATGGCATAGTGGCATAGTCGCTTGAGATGCAAACTTTGTTTAATGTGACCGTCACCCATCACGATTATCTTTCATGGTCACTTGAGCGTTTGCCTTGTACCTACCACGCATGAGAACAAACTCTTAATGCCGCGTCCGCATCTCTGCCGCTTGTCATGGCCGCTCTCACGCTCGCCACAGGTTTTGCAACGGGTGACGCGGTTAAACACACCCGGCTCCCTCACACAGCTCGTGCCGTGCCGCCTGGCGAACAGCGCGAGGTTTTTCAGGCAGGGTTTTTTCCGTTCGCATCAATAAGCCGGCAGTCAGTATCCGAGTTAATCGGTTTAGCTTTTTACGAGCTGTTTTACGGAACACCACGGGCGGCCGGCGTACGTCAGCGCCAGGCGACTTTTTATGCCTCTCTCGCCGGTTTTCTGCCTGCTGTGAACACTTCGGTCACTTACGTGCGCCTTCATTTCCATTTATTTTGCATCACACTGTATCGATTAGGGATCCAATCTAGAATGCCCTCGCATCTAAAGATCCATAAAAAGGAGCACGACCTATTTTACTGCGCAGCTCTGATCACGTTTAGGGCGTCGTACAATCGCCGAAGCGAGCGTTGTCGTCTAATGAATGCCTCTCCCCGCAGGTGCTGGATGGTGACCGGATCATGTGCCGCCTCCTCCACTCGCCGAACCAGTTGACGCCTCTGCAGAACGTCAAGCCGTCCGACTTCCTTTGCACCTACGACCGACACTGTTTCGCGCTCTGCCACTGCTGCAACTACGTGGCCTGCGACTGCGAGATGAGGTGCCCCGACGGCTGCTCTTGCTACCACGACCGCACGTGGAACACCAACATCGTCGACTGCAGCAAGAGGGAGCAGGTGACCATCTCTCGGGAGATCCCGATGGACGCCACGGCCGTCTTCGCTGACGGCAACAACATCCACAGTCTGGACAGTCACACTTTCATAGGCAGAAAGCGCGTCCAGCTACTGTTTGTCAACGGCTCAAACGTGGAGCAGATCCAGAACCGCAGCCTGAACGGCCTCTCCTCGCTTCGCGTCCTGCGACTCGAAAACAACGCTCTCGCCACCTTCCGTGGCTTTGAGTTCGACGGACTGTACTCGCTTCGCGAGTTGTACCTGCACAACAACCGGCTGCGCGCCATCCATCCAGCGACCTTCTCGCGCCTGCAAGCGCTCGAGGTGCTGACTCTGCGAGACAACCGGCTGACCAGCTTCCCCGTCTGGCAGCTAACCGCCAACCCGTACCTGGCGCAGCTGTCGCTCGCCAACAACCGCTGGTCGTGCGCCTGTCTGCCGGCCGCCCGCCTCAACCGTTTCCTCGCCGACAACCGCGCTAAGGTGGAGGACGTGGACGCGGTGCGGTGTTCCGACGCCGGCGGGCCGACTGACTGCGATGCCGACGCCAGTACCGGCGCAGCGCCGCCAGCAGGCCGTTGGACAGCGACGCCCAGCGCTCTGCCGCTGGCGCTGCTGGCTGCCGCCGCGCTGGCTGTCGTCGCGCTGGCCGGTGGGCTCGTGTTCCGCTACCGGAGGCGCCTTTGTTCGGCGACGGCGACGGCGGCGCGGTCGGCCTCCTACACCGGTGCGCTCGGCGTGGCCGTGGTGACGCCCCGGGCCGATAAGCTGTACGACGTGTTTGTGACATACAGCGCGCAGGACACGCGCTTTGTGAACGAGGTGCTGGCGCCGGAGATGGAGCAGGCCACGCCGGCGTACCGGCTGTGCCTGCTGCGGCGCGACGCGCCCAGCACCAGCTATCTGGGCGACGCCGTGCACCACTGCGTGCAGGCCTCCAGAAAGACGCTGCTGGTGCTCTCGAGAAACTTCCTCGACAACGAGTGGTGTCGGTTTGACTTTAAGGCGTCGCACCTGGACGCGCTGCGAACGCCTCGCGATGTGGTTGTGCTGCTGCATGGCGTCAGTCGGGGCGCTGCTGAAGGAGAACTGGAGACGCTGCTGCGGGGGGTTCCGTGCGTCGCGTATGGCGAGCCGGACGCCTGGTGCAAGCTGCGCCAGCTGCTGTCGCACCCCCGTGGCTACAAACACTCGCTGCTGCCCCACGGCTTGGGCCAGCCACCGTGCGTGTTGCGCTCGTGCCGGGGTAGACCGGCCGCGCTGGCAGCGCCGCTCGGGGACTCGCCGTCGCCCACCTGCTCCACTGTGATGTCCGACGAAGAGTCGGACGGGTCGGCGCCACTGCGGCTGGACCCCGGCCGCCTGCTGGCGTCCAGCGCGCTGCCCCGGGCTGCCGGCAGCTGTAGCAGCCTGCAGATCAGCGAGCACTCGTACATGACCATCGAGCACTACCAGACGGCGGGCCGGCCGTCGACTGAGGCCGAGCTGTACTCCACCCTGGAGCCGGAGGTGCGGCCGCAGATGCCGTCCGACCCGGACCACCCGGGTCACCATCACCAGAGGTCGCCGTCCGACGCGGACCACCCGGGTCACCATCATCAGAGGTCACCCTTCGACCCGGACCACCCGGGTCACCATCACCAGAGGTCGCCCTTCGACCCGGACCACCCGGGTCACCATCACCAGAGGTCGCCGTCTGACGTGGACCACCCGGGCCATCATCATCAGAGGTCGCTGTCACACTCGCTCTGGGTGTAACGTTGAGTGTCCTGGAGACAATGTCATGGAAGTGTCGCAGAAGGCAGATATTGTTTATAATGTGATATGAGCTTGCTGACGACTTCGAAAGATGGTCCGAGATTCAATTCGCCGGCTACGTTGGATGACGAAACAATGCGTGTCCGACGACGGCTTTTATAATTGCTTTACGTTGTGTGTGACTTCGTGCGAGTTTCGCGGGTCGCGGAGAAACGGACGAAATACCAGTGGGCGGCCATGTCGCAATGCTTTACTTTGTGCGCTGGCGGATTGATGTGATATGGTTACCAACGTCGGGCTCACAAGCCTGACTCAATGTGATATAATAAATGACAAGCTTACATCATCGTCCACGGAGTGAATCTCAGATGGGCCAACGATCAGCTACGCGAAGATTGAAGCCCCTCCCGGCGCTGTAAAAAGATCTGTCGTGAACTCGACCATTAATATTCTTTCAAAACCAGGTTAAACGCTATCTTGTTAGCCGCCGTCACCGCGACACGCTGCCGTTCCCGAGCGCCGCTGGTGGAGCGCCGGTGCCGCTGGCATCCTGTGATGGGATTTGGAAACGGGCGCGCCGAGACGCCGGCGCCGACCGCTGCGACCGACTAATCGTCTTCTCACCGCGCGCCGATTACGGCGCGGGAGTGCTGCGGCCCGGCGCGCGGCAGCTGACTGCGGCCGCCTCCCCTGCCGAGATAACAATGCGCGCGGCGCGGGCCTGGAGGCTCGCCGGCGCGGCTCGCTCGGCCGCGCCGGCTCCGACAGACGATATGGGTCGGCGGCCGGCGTAATGGATAGTGCAGCGGGGACGCAGCCGACCGGGAACCGCAGCTGCCTGCCTGGTGGACGGGTGGAACGTCGATCGAGTGCGTGCAGCGCGATCCACGACTGCTTTCTGTGCATCTGGAGCGCACGCCGCGACGCTCGTGTTGCCATGTGGCCGCGGCTTCCTTGAAGCGAAGAGTTGAGGCTCAGGACACATCGACGGTGACGTTATAAAAGCCGCGGCGGAAGCGCCGCCATACTCACGCGATGTCGTGTCTCGGTCAAGTTGTGACAGTTTGACATTCTGTGGCGACTCTAGGGTAGCACGTGCGGAGTTGGGATCGGCCGCCCCGGAAGCTGATGGCAGTACTGCGGGCATTCACTCCCAATTCACTGGGGAGATCACTGAATCTGTGCCCGTCATTCAAAGCTGACTACGTGCAGACAGTCCTGCGAAACATACGATTCCTGCAACTCCCATAGCAGACAGAATGTTACCAACGACAACCCACCTGAGGGAGTTTCTATCTACATTTGGAGTCCTTCACCGTGGCGGCTTGCCGGCTGTACTTCTTAAGCGCCCGATAGCTAAACTCGCTGGTGGTCTGGGAGCTTGAGAACAAATTGGTATTTCATGTTGAGCTGAATTAATGATTGGCCGTCACTGCAGCGCATTCCATTAAGATTGGCTGTCACTACCAAACGTTCCACTTTTCCGCAGGGCTCAGACCAGCATCGATATGATTTAGTTGGATGCTATGTTGGACGTGCAGACAGTAAAAACGGCAGAACAAATAAAGCAAACTTGCATCGTAGATGACAGGGCACAAAAAAATCGTTAGATCTTCTCTGCGCACGCTCTATCATATTACTGTTAATAATTGATGTTTGCCATCAAATTCATTTACTTGGCTATCTTGTCTTCACGCCGGGGGATGAGCAGTTAATTTATGAGTGCATATGCCCCATAACCGTTTGCTCGAAGTCGTGAGGTTTGAGACTGGCCCCGACCAAGAGTTAAGTGGTTAGACGCTGCAATCGGACTGAGAGCTGCCGGTGCTGAATGAGCTTGCCATCAAATTCGTTTACTTAGCTATCTTGACTGCACGCCGGGGGATGAACAGTTAAGTTATGAGTGCCTGTTTTTTGTAAGGTCATCCTGTCATGACCTTACATCGTAGATGCTTTGTCAAACCTCAATAACTGGTTATCTTTGAGGCTACTTCCACCACCTTCTGCCATCGACCTCAGCGGTCTACCTCCACCGCCCTTTTTATTCTATCAGAATTTGTGTATACTTTGAGGAATTAAGGCTGCTTCATTCCCGAATGTGATTACAACGGGGAAACCTCGCCCAGGCGTGACAAATGCTGCCTCTATCGTTTCCCCGCGCAAAAGCCGTTCTCTGTCCTGCCGGGTCGGACCGTTCTCAGCCCCGGACGGATTAGGGCGGGCCTGTCGCGGGACCAGTGCAACATTATTAATGGAGTCTGCGATGTGGCCAGCTCGTTAGCCGGACGGGACTGTGCGTCGGCCGGCGGCCGGGCTTCAGCGGACCTGCTCGTGCCACGTCAGGGCCCAGAGATGGCTGATCTGATGGCCAGCAGATACTGACCCACACTGATTAGGGGTTCAATTAAGCGGCGCGGGGTGCCGGCGGATCATAGACCGCGCAGAATCTGCCTCGTCACTGCGGCCTCGGCAGGCACGGGTGGGAGCCTGCAGCCAGAAAACCCCAACACCGCACACAAGGAGCTCTCAGCACAGCATACGGAGGATAGAGCACGTTGAGACGTACAGTCTCCCCTTCCTCTATCCCCCTTCCCCCTTCACCTTTGCTTTTCTCATTTTCTCCTCCTCTTTCGCTATCTCACGTTTAATTACACAGTTGAGACAAGGTATGCTCGAGGCATCCTCCATCTGGACATGACAAATCGTGGAGGTAAAGTAAGACACGGAAAAGTAAGTAAAAAGTCAGGCTCCTGGGTTCACCAGGCTGCAAAAAGTAGTTGTAGCCGCAAATGGGTCAGGTAAGGTACTTTTGACGAATAGCACAATCACCCAATGCAGTCATAGCAGTGCCTTGATAAGTTATAGCAGTGCTCGCCGACCGACAATGTGTTGTGCCTCGTTCGAGTTTGGCATCAGCGCAAGCCCATTCCTGACGAACGGCGATGTCTTTTACAACGCCGCCGGCTATCAAGCAAATACATATCTGTGCAGCACGATCCAAAGAAGCTTTTGAATCGCGCGCTGAAACAGGAGGGGGGCGGCCAGAGACACTCCACTTCCGATCCGTCGCGGTGGAGGGGGTGGCGCTCTAGCGTGGTACCAGGCCCTGCCGGTCGAAACGCGTTTCCCACCTTTGCTGGATCAGGCTCTCAGAGAGAGTCCCAGTGCCACCAGTTCTTAACACGCTAGGGCCACTCGGGAAACGGTATTGGACAGCTCGCATGAAACTGCATGAGATCAGTGTCATAATCCCTGAATCGGCGTCAGTAATGTTTGATAAGCCTTGCCCGGTCACTGGATCAAAAACAAAGTTCGGGTGCCAGTGTTCTCCGACACTACCTGAGGCAATTCGGGTGTCAGAGCTCTCCGACACTGCCTGGAGTAATTCGGGCGTGAGAGCTCTCCGACACTGTCTGGAGTATTTGGTCACCCTTGACGGCCTAGAAATGCTACAATTAGCACATCCACCCCCGGTAGCTGTGGAGTTATTCGCCAGACTGGTAAAATTAAAATAGCTTTTGATAGTCCCGGTACATGTCGCTCATAAATCGTTGAGGGGACATCTCTCACTGGATTGACAACACCACAGGTTACGGGAAAACATCGTAAATGACCTTACATGAAAGCGAATGTCTTTGCGCCTCGGGATTTCATCACGGTGTCAGATGGTCAAGGTTCGAGGGCAGGTTAAGATAATTTCACGCAAGGTCATGTCAGGTCAAGGTCAATTCACCTCATCTATTTTTCTGGTCTTTTCGTGTATCTGCTCTAATTATGTGTTGAAACGTGTTCGGTACACCGGCTAGCCTTCCTACTACAGCTAGACCCAGCAAATCGCCTTGGTTCAACGCCTGCTAGTTGATCTCATGATGATCTCTGATGATCGGGCGTGACCTCATGTGGCATGGTTGACTCTGATTGGTAGTGTCAAACCAGTCTTTGAGTTATATCACAGCCATCGAAAACAAGGAAGGAAGAAGCGAACTGCCGTATGTCACGGAGGCATTCAAGAAGGAGAGCCCCCCCCCCCCTCATCCCCACCCCGTTTCTCCAAACAGGTCCCAAATGTTTGCAGGGTTCGTGGCATTGATGTGGAGGAGAAATCAGGAAGACTCGAAGTGTTATTCACAAAGGCTTTGAGCCCAACCGCACTGTAAATACATCGGCGTGGTGAGGTCAATATGACCTTCTAATAATGGTATGGGTCAATATAGCAGCATCGTTATCGTCGAGAACAAATTGGTTGCAGCTATAAATCCGGGAAGATTCATATAACATTTATGCTTTGAAATGTAACAGAAATGTTATGCAAGTCCATGCGAGCCGTTGAAGAGCCACTTTGTGCTTTATATCTGATGAAGCCTATCATGACCACCGTCAGCCACCATTCGAGGTTTGGCCGTTGCCATCACCATAAGCATCTGGGGGACTTCTGGTTTGTCGCTCTTCATGTATCCCCTTTTCATAAAAGTACATCGATACCAATTACGAACAACGAAGCTCAATGAAATGAATATCTTGGTGAGTTCAATTTTGTTTACTCTCCGCTGTAAAATGCTTCATTGTCTTAGCTCTAGGCATTATATTTCATCATCATCGTCATATGTCCACCAACCTTCATTGCATGGTATATTTCAGGCTTGTACAGCCAGTTGTTGCCATCAGCAATGCAAACAGCTTTCATTCTTTCAACCCGAGATTGCAAGACCTCCGTCGTGTCACACAGCGTCTTTGTTATTTTATCAACGAAACGAGAGCCATCATGCAGGCACAAGAGTTTCCGAAATTCAAACTGAAGAAAAGACAAAATATTAAGCTGGATATGTGTTGGAAATATTCATGTCACATCTTTGCAACGTTCTTTGGAAACATTGCGTGTGACGTCCCGGTGTTTTATTTGACCGTAGTCATTCTACGTAGCATAGCGGTATCTACATCAGATCATTAACACCGCTGCGTTCCCTGGCGCCAGTTATATATGCGAAGGCTGTTTGGCAGAAATGACAATGCTTCATACCGGGTGCGAAAATTACCGGACTTCTTACTGAGTGATTGTTCGCTGCTCGGTTGCAAGCGCGCAACATGGAAGCATGCAACTGATCAGCCCGGGACTTCTCCGAACCCAGCAGATCTTTTCCATCGTCTGATCGGCCAGATCGGCCTGGTCATAACGGGGGGACCGAAAGATCGTCACAGTTAGCCAGGCAGCACGCGATCATGCGCGCGCACACACGTGCACACGCGGAAGAGATGAGGAATGTGAGAGCGCATCCTTGCAGCGGGCCGAGTATCTCCTCCTGCCGCGCTCCTGGTCATCTGCCGACCATTTCTGAAAGGCCCCCAGCGGT